GTGGATTCTCTTTTGCACCCCATTCAGTTTTGTAACAGCCCCCCACATAAGCCTGTTAGAGATGTAATATTAATTGCCAGAAATCTCCATCTGCAGTTGCTCCAACATCATTCTTTAATGAATACAGACTTCATTGCATGTATTTCTATTACTTTGGTTACTTCTATTTCTATTTTTATTGCAAAGATCTGTGCAAATAAAAGAATATCAAAAGGTATGGCTGTAAATGTGCTCTGCTAAATTCCCTCTGCCTTGAAATGCCTGTGAATTGCAGCTACGAAACGCCTGCTGCATTTTAATGCCTTTCTTGTAAGGCAACACGATACAGTAGAAGCAACCCTGGTTTGGAGTCACACAGATCATGGCCCACCATTCACCAGTTGTGTCACTTAACGTCTCTGAGCCTCAGTGTACTCGTCTGTAAAACGTCAATAACAACATCATCCTCACAGATTTGACTGAGGACTAAAGAAGACGAAGTATGTAAAACACAAATATTGTCTTTAGGACACCAAAGAGGTCAATGAATGTTAGTTTTCTTCCGCCTGCAGCAGGAATGGGAGGAGATTAAGACACACACTAAAGAGCACTCATAAAGTCCTACAAGTGAGGTAGTTATAAACTAGGAAGAATGAAAGAATAAGGCTAGATTCCAAAGTGGCAGATAATGCCTTAGTGTGATGTTCATCACACATGGGAATTTATTACTATAGGTGGCTAAGAAGAGAATGACATGGTTTCTGAAATCCATTACAACTTTAAGCTCTGTCCAGCTCTACAGTGTTATAAGAAGGGCCTGTTTAACTATACAACTGCCTTTAAACGCATAGGTAGTATAATTTATAAAAAAGTCATTACAATATGTCTCTTTTGTACTGCTTGAATTAACATAACATTTTAACACTTTGAAAGTGTAAGACTGGCGTTGATTACCTACATATGGATATAGCTGTAATAGGAATTTTTTGTAAGAATGGGCAGGCTTTACTTCATCCAGTGAACAAATAATACAAAAAGTCTGATTTTCTAACTAGCAACGTGGAGATGGGGTGTTTGATACGATTGCAATAGTATTTGAGTTACATCATAATCTGATGTCACTTCTGAAGCTATCGGGCCAAAGACTCCCTAGAATCTATACTGCTAAGTTCAATAAAGCCAGGAAAATAGAACAGATGACATGTAAATAGAGAAGGAGAATGGGAATCCTTAAAAAGTAGGTCCTGTAGGCTAGCCTTAACTTCCATTCTGGTTCAGTATATTGCTAGAGGAACTGGTCTCCAAGATGCAAATAAGATGGAGGAAGAGAAGCAGTTTGGAAGATAGTAAGCTATGGTGGAAAGAGTAGTCTTTGAAGTCAGAAAACCTTGTTAATCATCTATTTGCTATAAGCCTCATCTTCTTCTTCTTTATTGGACAGAATAATAAAACCTATCCTTCAATATTCTTTTGAGGTATTGAGAATTTTATAGCACCTGTTACATAGGACTTGTAAATAAGCTCAACCCAAGTGCCAGCTCCTGTAGATTTGTAGTGGCTGAAGTTCTGGGTTGAGAAGAATTCTGGCATCATTGGGAAAGAATGCTGTAATTGATTAGTGATGTCTGTTCTGAGCACAAAGTCGACTAAGTCTGTGTCGATATATCTACTAGATAATTGTTCTATAAATTACAACTATTGTGATGATTGCTATTATTACAAAGGTTTCTATATGCCCCTCTTCAAATGGCTGTATTTTTACATCTTCAACATAAAATGAAATCAATTTCTTTCATTACAGTGGTAGTATATATAATTTTTATTAATTTAGAGGTAAACTTGGAGGTAAACTTATGTGTATTATCTGCTGAGAAGGGCTTAAAATCAGAATTTGATATTCCTAAATTTAGTATATAAAACACCACCTACTTGGCAAAAAATCTGATACAAGTAAAGGTAGAGTGAGTGTTGGAGAGGAAAAAAGAGAGATGATATTGAGATGTAGTCCCAGATTATCACGAAAGGTTTGCATGGTGTTCCAGATTTTTTAAAAATATTCACACAGGGGAGAAGATACAGCATGTTTTGCCCATAAGTGGTCCATGACTTTCTGGACTTTTTTCCTGTTTTTTGTCTGGGGCCAGATTTCTTTTCTGGATGAAGTGTCTTGTTCCTGTAAGCCATAGGGGATTTTCTGAATCCTGAACAGCTGATTTTGTATTCTTGCCCCATTCCCTTATTTGAGAACAGCAATCTTATCAAACCCATATTTTTAAATTTATGTATTTATAGACATATGGAAGAATAGTTTATAGTCTGAGTATGATTTTTTTTTCCACTACAAATGGAGGAAAATTGTTTTTTTTTTAAAAAAAAAAAAACAGTGCCTTATCAGGTTTTTTTTTCTTTATTACTGATGACTTCATTCTACTTGAATTCAATGCTTCAGTTTCTTTGGGGTAAACTAATAGATTATGTATGCGATGTTTGCACCATGTTGATTGAACTCATCTGGCAAATTTGAACGCAGCTCATGAATTTCTGTAATCGGCAGAAGCCTGTGCATTGGATACAGACACCGTGGTCATCTCATATTACTCAAGAGCGAGGGAAGCTGTTTCAAAATAGACTGTGCTGCTTTTCTTGCCTGCCTATGGTTCAGAAAAGCTTATCAAGCCTTTTAGCTTTTTCTTTATCTTTTTGAAGTGCTCAAAGAAAACTTTTATTTTAAGAAATATATCGTACAGAGTGCATGATAGTGTATATAGACATTGAAGACTCAAAAGGGGGAAGACAGGGAAAGGAATGAAAAATTACCTGTTGGGTACAATGTACACTATTCAGGTGATGGGTACACTAAAAGCCCAGACTTTGCCACTGTACAATATATCCATGTAACAAAACTCCATTTATACCCCCTAAATCTATTGAACTAAAAAATTAATTAAATGTTACAAAGAATAAGAATTATTTTGCGAGTTTGAAAATACATATTGAAGAACAATAAATGTATGTGGCCACTACGGATTTGTCTTTTCTGAATGGCAGGCATCAGCTGCTGAAGGTCTGTAGAGTACTCTGGAAGCCCAGAACCCTGTGCCAACTGCCGTGGGAGCAGTCACGTAGGCACAGGCATGTGGCCCCGCTTTCAATTAACTTGCCATCTAGTTTGGGAAGAATGCTTTTCCTCCAAAAGATGTTTACTCACCATTTTCCTTTTATAGTTTTCTAGCATAATTTTAAAATATTTTAACAAAATAGATGACCTCTTTCTATTGCTTTTAGATATCTCATTTTAAACTAAACTCAACTGCAATATTTAGGGATCTTTTTGACATACAAGGCTCTTCACACTGAGGCCCTACTTACCTTTCCAAGCCTCACCTGTCCCTCTTCCCCCGCTCCCTCCTATATACCCGATATGCTACAGCAGTGATTCTCACATATCCATGAAACATGAGTGTTGGTATGATTAATAAGCTGCTACCAACTGAGTTAAAGTACCAAAATTTGCAAGTGATGTACTTTTGTCAGTTATTAGAGTGAATTCAAAATATCCCTAAACCAAAGTCATCAGCATGCACTTTATTCTAATTGAGTTTCTCCATGAGAGAGGAAAGGGGGCATATATCACCTGGTATGTGTGTGAGGCAGGACAAAAGAAGTTGAGGGCTTCTGCTTGCCCAAACTGACTGGCTTGCATGTCCCCAGAGCAAGATGCTTTCTCATTGCTCTGCTTTGCCCTGCCCTTCCCTCTACCTGGAATACCCTCATCTCACCTGTGCAGCTGTTGAGCTCCTATGCATCCTTCAAGGCTCCCCCATGGGGCCTTCTGTGATCCTCCATGGCCCTGCTCTCACCCTGTCAAAGCTTCAGCACTCTGTGTTCCCATGACCCCTATGCAAACCTCTGTTGTAGGCACCTAACAGAGAGGATTGTCATCTTTTATGATCCCTTCCAGTGGTGGGGAATCTGCAGCCTCAAGGCCACATGTGGCCCTCCAGATCCCCAGTGCAGCCCTTTGGCCAAATCCAAGCTTCACAGAACAAATCCCTTTATTAAAATTTGGATTCAGTCAAAAGGCCACACCCAAGGATCCAGAAGGCCACATGTTCCCCACCTCTGTGTAGGGAATGTTCATTTTTACATTCCTAGATCTTAACATAAGGTCTGGCACTATGGGGCACTCAGTTATGCCTCAAATGAACCAGGGAAGTTGAAGACTGTTCAGATCTATCATTCTCCTCTTGCTTCCTGGCCCTGAATTATATTGTATGATACTGGTTCTGTTGAAATGATCTCAAAAAACCGATCCAAGTAAAAGGGAGCTACTAGCTATGGAGTTTGGGGTTGGGTGGATAAGTTGCTGGAGAAGCTGTAATTCCCAAGAGGAAGCAGTGGCTAAAGAAGAGAGGGGAGAACCTGGGACGAGCACATTCTACCATCACCCAGCTTCCCTCACCCCTTCGTGACTCTTTGGCATGGCTTTCACCTTCTTTTCTTTACCTACGCCCTGGCTGCGCTCATATGTTGACAGGTATCCCCAACCCCCCACTCCCAAAATTCACCAGTCTCGCTGAAATAACACTGGCACGTGTCAACCCTGTCTCACATCCAAACTTTGGGTCAAACAACTGGAAATTTGTCCCAAATAGGCAACACTTATGTGAGAAAATGAGATACCCACATTAAAATTTAACAAAACTCTGCATGCATGATTGTAAGAAAAGCGATGGGTCTTTTAATTGCTCTAAAAGGTCAGGACTTTCTCTTACGTTCTCATTCAAAAGGCATTTATTAATCTCAAGTCAGATGTTTTGACCCTGGGGGCTAAAGGTAGGCATGTAAGGACCATTTTTTTGTTCATTTTTATTACTGATTTCACTATTTTCCTAGCATATCTGAATTACATCATTGAATCTTCCAAATTTGAATGTCAGGCCCTTTAATAAGAAGATCCAATAGTGACTTCAAGGATTATGTACACTGAGTGACTATGCTTGTTTGGTTGTATCCTGTAGCGTCCGTCCCGCGGCTGGGAGCACTGACCGCATCCAGAAGTTGCGGAAGGAGTATTATCAGGCTCGGAGGGAAGGCTTCCCTTTCTACGAAGACGACGAAGGAAGAGCAAGGCCGTCTGATTATGACCTTCTCTGGGTAAGTGCATCCCTAGTTCCAATCATTGAGTTCTTCTTTATTAAGATAATTTAGAGCAAAAGAACATGGTCAAGAATGTTCTATACATATCAAATTGTATTTAGGTTTCTTAGGTTTCATAATTCTGAACATTATTCAAACTACAGCCATCTTCTCCCACAGAAATTGTTTACATAAATCAAACCACACTAATGCACAGTAGTTCTGTCTAATTGCTCTCATACTTTCTGTTGTATACTGACTGGTTTTGGGGGAACAGAAATGAGCTACTTTAAAAGGGACAAAGAATCTTTGTCACCATCCACTGAGCCTTGATCCTTATCTCAGACATGTGGGACAGCATTAACAGACTTTGCAACATAAGCCATCTCTCCCTTGGAAAATGGTTATTAGACATAAATTTTCAGAAGAGTTATTGTCAGAGATATCAATTGTTTGTTTATTGCATCTGAGCACTTCACATTCTGCTGATCTTACCAGTATACTAGGATGGCTTTGTTTTGAGATAAGGGCAGTTTTTGTATTAAAGGATTCTTTTTGCCAAATCCTTCAACGTTCAGAGAACAGAAAAGAATAATGTGACCACTGAAGAGATACTCTCTGGGTATTTTCAGGGTAGCATGAAAATACTCTTGTTTTTTTCAAGAAGGCAAGTCTGTGCCTGCAAAACAAACTCTTGAGCATCCACAAAAATGCCCCAGAGGAGGGCGCTTAGAGTTGGATTAAATGTTTGTGTCTGATTCGTAGAACCGTGCAGACACGGAGCTGGTGCTCCATAAACGTCAGCTCTCGGTACTGACACCATTACTGGAGCAGAGCTGAACGTGGTAGTACAGTCATGTTCTTGCTGTAATTCAGTTCTCCCTCACTCTCTTTGATGATGACTGCCTTCTACTATAGTTTTCGTGCTGTTCTGAGAACCAGGTAAGGGACTCTGTTATCCCTGGTGCCCACTAAAGACACCAGATCCTTTAATAGGCAAATGTATGAAAGGAAAATTTCCTCTTCTGAGTTTCACACTCACGTCTATGCTCACAAAGTCAGGCTGGGGAGAGTAGAGTCCAGCGACTGAGCTGATTCCCTCGAGTTTTCACAGCTATGCTGGGGTGTGTCATAAGTGATGCTTACGCTGGGGCTTGAAAATCAGTCTCAGGACCCACCATTGTTGGGCAGAGCAACTGAAACGCCTCAGCCCGGGACATTCCTCCATGTATAATGAAGTTTATAAACATTAATCAGAAGTGCACAGTGAGGACTGGCAATCTCAAATGCAGTGGCTTCAGCCTCTTTGGAGAAAGGCACCCTGAGACTATGGATCAGAACAAAGAGCCGTGTGTGTATTGGTTTTATTACAGATGTTAGGATTAAACAGAATGATACTTACAGTGATGGGAAAACTTGTCTCTTGGACCCTCAGTAGCAGAGAAAGATTTCCACCGAATAACAGATTAGGTATCAATTCCACTTCATTTCAAAGTTGATCAAGATCGATTTACTGCCTCTGACAAGAGACTTGAGCGGCTCGTTAGGTAAGGCTCAGCTCCCTCAATAAACCAAACAAGCAATAAAACGAAGGAAAGTTATTTCCACTGTAACCAAAACAGAACACCATGTCCAATGCTATGAAAAGTGTTCCACCTCAAAACCACTATGAATTCCTGTGAGCAAAATAAGACAAATAAATTTAGATTAAGTTATTTTGACCTTATTTTATATGATTTCCTTACATCAAGCTGAAAGGATGAAGATGCTTAACCTTCATGAGACTTAAAGTTTCCTCTGACCCTCACCAGACCTGAGCGAGATAACTATACCCTTGGGTGCTCCCTTGTTTAATGATTCTATTTTTATGCCAAGTAAACGTGTAACCAGACCATCTAGTGAGTAAAGAAGTATCTCTATTATAATTTGTGTTTCCCATGCTCCGGTGTGTTGAGCTTTGCCAAAAGTGACTGATTTTATGTTTCCCAGACAATTGAGGTCTAAGGCTTCCCAAAGGGATGCTTGGGAAATGCACTGTCATAAAAGACGAGTGTTCTCTGTGATTGCCTGGGATACTCCAAACCAGGGATTAGAATCTCAGCATCCTTTCCTCTCCTCTCCCCAAGCCAAGGAAAAACACTAGTATCTTTTGTTCAGTGTAGGCCTGAGAAATTACACCATTGGCTTGCTACTTTTGGTGAGATCTAGGAAAGCAAGTTTAGAAAGTTAACATTTCATTCCTGTCAGGCAGCCAGACCCAACAAGGCCGCTTTTATAAGATTGTGGTTCCTAGGTAGGCCGGTCTTCAGCATCACCACAGAGCACTTGTTAAAATCAGATTGACAGTTCCATGGAGGGAAGTGGTGGGGCCCAGGAGAGGCCCCCATAGGCTTCTGCAGGTGGTCATCTGGGATTCCGACCCACAATTCTAAAAATAGGGCACTGACTGTGACCACTTCAATGAACACCAAAGCAGCCCAACTTGTCTAACAAAACCGTAGTAGGGACCAGCACCATCAGACATATATTCATGACCTTAGAACTCCGCAAGGCCAGGACTCCAGATTGAGGGAACCGACAGATGTTTCCTGGAGTCATCCTATACTCGGGAACTTCTGAACTGTCGAGAAGGAAATTAGGAAGGTAAGTTACCTAACAACTGCTTTTAAACTAGTTTAAAAATAGGCCAGAAAGAATGGAAGTACGCTCACAAAAGTGTTCAAAGCCAAAATAATGGAAGTAATCACTTGAAAAGTTACTAGGGTCTATGATTATTTAAAAAAAATTTTTTTTTCAATGGGACTAATAATTTTTCAGACTTTAATTTTCAGACTTTCTAGATCTTCCCAGGCCAACTTGTCTGTAGTTTTCTACCAATATAATACCTGCCCGGTGGCCTGGAGCCTAAGACCTCCCTCACTGCTCCCTTGAGCTCTCAATTGCTTTC